TATTCACAAAAAATAGATCAAAAGGCAGCCTATGGGTGGGAGGTATAAGCAACCCCTGCCACAATCAACTAATACGAAAAAGGCTTCCAATCAAGATTTATTGTATAAAAAACCATGTGATTTCCGGAAAAAGTGTGGGGCACTCCAATTTTCTTCTGTTCACAAAGAGCTGTATGATTCAGCAGATTGGTTCACATAACCAAGTTTGACAAGTAAAAAATACTCAACTATCGACTCCACAAACTGGACCCAACTTTTGATGTACTTAACTAGATGGATCCTCCAAAACATTTTGCAGATGAATAATTCAATTGAGCCTTGAGTAACATGACTAAGTTAACACATGGTAGGCATCCAATGCTCAGTTAGATGCTTAAAAAAGTTTTAAATCTTCAACATTCTGTGATCATAGAGACATACACCGTATGTTCAAACACGTGGATATAGCAAATATTAGAGAAAAATAAAGAATCTCAATGGAAAACAAATGGACTGGTTTATTGGGCTCACTTAAACTCATAATTGCATGGCCATCGACATCTCTGTGCTTTTTTTAGAAAAAGAAAAGATTTAATAAGATAATGAATACTCTTTTTTGGCTTTAAAACTGCATTCATGAAGGAAAAAAAGAAAGTACAAGAAGGTCATACTAAAAACAAAGGCCATCATAAAACAAAAAAAGCTTCAAAAGTAAAACAAATGCAACAAATAATAATTAGAGGAAAGGGATCCTCCTATTCCTTTTAGGTCAAATGTACCAAAAGACTGTAAAACTAGCTTGGTCAAAGGAAACGCTCTGTCTCAAAAAGGGGTGGGGTGTCATATTTAATTCCATTAACATGATGCAACAATTGAATTATTGAAAAAGGGGAAAAGCTGTAGCACTGGACAACCAAAGACCTTTAAGAAACTCTGCCAAATCTTCCCCAAAGAAATAGCATCTTCAAAAAAATATGATTCAAACCCTCACTTTCCCATTTTCATGGCCACGTATTTATAAGTATTATGTATATGGATGACATTCTTCCATTCTTTCTCTCTCTAATTATAGAAATTATGCCCCTGCTGTTTGTTTATTCTTATTTTTTTATAGGGAACAGGTAGATAGCCGTTTAAAAAAGAGACAAACAAAATATCCTAAAGGCCATAGGAACAAGGTGTCCCATTCCCCAATGGAGGACCAAACGAAAGGCTTCTAATCTAGGTTAATAACAAAAGAAGTGTAGTTGCTGGCTCAGGGGAATCGTGAGAAGAGATGAGAAAACCCAAGAAAGGGATGACCAGTGTATAGATATGAAAAAAAAAAGGCACGATCTTTTGTCATTTCTGTGATTTCAACTCTTGTTCCTCTTAATCTCTTGTCTCCTTCAAAGGTATATCGTTTCTTTCAATCGGAATGGAAAGAAGAAGGCATTGGGAAGTCTACATCTATGTTTCTAAGGGGATTCATGGCCAACAAGAAGGGCATGGAGAGGGATTGTTCCCTGTGTCTTTCTTTTTTTTTTTTTTGGTATGAAACAAATATTTAATTGATGGTATGAAATATACAAAAGACCACATGGACAATTACAAGAAAGTCTTCCAACTTGTAATAAGATCATTAAGAGAGTAGTTGTTGAAAGGGGAATAGAAACATTTACACCAACCAAGAGCTAGTACAATAACTCTATCAAAAAAAGGCTATCAAGAGAGTCTAGAGAGTAGTTGTTCCCTGTGTCTTTAATAGATGAGTATTTTTGGTTGGATAGGGAGAAGAGTCTAGGAAAACATTTGCATAATGGTTTCGTTCTAATCTTCTGATGAAGTCAAAAATTTGTGGAGTCATTTCCAACAGAGCATCTAGCCAATAAGATCTTTATGCTTGAGAATGCTCTTCCAAGAACACTAGGATAAATGTGATGCATATGCTCTTCCTTCTCTAACATGTACGAAGTTGCACTTTGTACCAATTGACAAAGGGTGAGCCCCCATCCATGTTTGAACCTTTCTAAAGGTCACGAAAAGAGTTTCCCTATATCGATAACCTAGATGGATATAGAAAAAGTGACATTTAGTAGGTAGGGAGGTTGGATAATGTCGCTTCTTTGATTGTTAGGTGGCCACCTTTGGAGATGGAGGAGTTTTTCCATTTATAAAGTCAGTTGATTCTTTCAATAATATGGACTCAAAAACAGATGAAGAAATGGAGCAGTATTTACCATTACGGGAATGCTCAACAAAACTTGGCCACGAGTCATTCCTGAAAGGTTGAAACCAAACTAGTCCACATAGGTTTGAGGGCTGAATTTGCAATGTTAAACTTAATCCCCAATAATTCAAATTGTCCATAATTAATGTTGATCTCAAATGCATCCTCAAAGATCTTGATGATATTAAAGATATTGTTGATACTAACTCTGTCCTTGGTTGAGAAGATAATAGTGCTGTCTGTAAATTAAGAGGATTAATGGATAGGGAAGGCTTCCCCAATATTAGAACCCTTGGAGAGACTGCAAGAACGGCTTTGGGAGAGAATTCTCCTGAAACAATCCACTACAATGATCAAGAGAAAGGGAGAGAAGAAATCTCCTTGTCCAAGATCTCTCTTTCTTTTAGTACAACAAATATGGGGCGAGGATTTTAACCTCCAACCTAAAGGAAATAAGTAAATGTCTTAACTACTAAGCTATGCTAATATTGGCCCTTGTCCAAGATCTCTTGAGGCAAAGTTGTATGCTCGATAGGGTTCAATCCCTTACAACATTTACTAAATTCTGCCGGTAGTAAAACAAAGTTCTCCTTTGAAAACACTTCTAAGTTCTAATTTAAAATAACTGAAGTTTTACTTTTCAACAATGAGTATTGTATAATCCAATTGATCCAAACAAAACTGTAATAGAATTCCAGTTACATTCCGACTGTGTTAGACCATCTTTCAAAAATCAAACTCAGCAATGCAAAATGTATCCTGAAGTTGCAATACCGCATCAAATGTAATACAATACAATAAATGGCAGATAAAGATCAAACCACTAGTTTCCTACGCTAAATTCAGCGACAAGAGAATCAAAATAAGAACCTAAAAATGAAACCTGTTTGGTGGACAGCGTGCAGTTGCGGTTGAAATCGTCCATAAACCAGGAAGAGGAACCGTCATCCATTGTAGCAGTAGTAGCTTGATGTTCTTCGTCCGCCTCAACTCCTACTAACATTTTCATTTTCTCAAACGCCTGATTCATCTTATCCATGGCTCCTCCGCCGCTTCAAATTCCGTCGCTGTTTCCGGTGAGAGGAAGGGAGAGAAATGAAGAAGATAATGAAATTCAGACAGATCTAAAACAAAGGAATCTATGAAATCGATACTTCCAACTGCTTCGAAGCAAAATCTTGCTACCAGAAATCACCGATTCACCCGCAACCCGTCGCCGTCGGGGTCCACCGCGGTCGTTCAGAGATTTTGAGGTGTCAACTTTCAATTTAAGAAAATAATTTTAAAAAAAAATTCACACACACACACATATATATATATATGTTAAACTACAAATTTAGTAAAAAAAATAATTAAAAAAAAGCCTTTCAAAAATAGATCTTATAAATCTTTCCTATCTCAATTGTGTGTATAATGAAAATGGGATGACATGTTGGAGCATAGTTTAACAGTAATTGATATCTATACTTGATTAAGAGATACATTAATATTTCTATCGACATTTTTATGTAACTATAAGTTCAACATCGATATTACGATAAATCGGAATTTTCATCGTATTACAAAAATTAGATAAAATATGAACAATTTCAACTAAAGGTTGCTACTATATATATTAATATTAATAATTTTTAGAAATTAAATTAATATTAATTTAAATATTTTTTATGACTTTTAAATTTTTAAATTTTTATAGAAATATCTATCGACATCGATATTTTATTAATATTTATATGAAAGTGAGACCTCGACATTTTCACAACCGATATCAATCTTTAATTTGGATCGCACTCGCTTTACACTATTATATTGGTTTAAACAAATTTTGGAGGGCCTTGGATATGTGACTATTTTTATTTATTTGTTTTAAAAAGACACTACTATTTTTATATTAAAAAATGACACTCCTAATGGTATGCATGAAAATAATTACATTGAACACTATTTATAACAAAGTTTGTTTTCTTTAAAACAATTCGATACCTCAGTGAATAAGCCATCAATTATATTTTTTTAACAATCGGAGGTTTACTTATTATCTACCTCGACAATAAAATTTATATCATTTTTTATGAATAAAAAAACGAAAAGTACTCACATATTTTAAAATACTAGTATTTTAGCTCGTATTTCGTACGTTATATATTGATTTTTTCACTCCAAGCAAATTATACAAATGTAGGAATATTTAATTGGGGAAAAGAAGGTAGGACTTATTTTGTCGTTACTCGTAAAATATATATAATTACACAAAATTTTGTAGTTTTAATGTAATTTCTCCCTTGAATTCTTAGAATTAGGAGGTTGTATACAGGTATGACAAAAATACCCATGGAATCCTCAGGTCGGAGATTCCCCGATTTGACCCCGTCCTCGGTCAAATCGAGGATCCCAAAGGGTTTCCCGGTGGGGACGGGAATCGGTCCCCCTGTCCTATTCCCGTCCCCACCCGTTTAATTTTTTATTACTTTTTTATATAATAATATTACTATATATTAATTTTATAAATACTTTTTAATTAAAAAAAACTCAAGCTAATACCCATTTAGCCACTTCACTTTTATACTAATGATAACCAAAATTAATTAAAAATTAAAAATTAAAAATTAAATCTAAAAATTAAATTAAAAAATTAAAAAATATATATTTATAACGAGAACGGGTTATCAATCACTGCCCCGTTTCAACCCCCAAAATTTTGGGGACGTGGGCGAGAATGGGTGAAAAACCCCAACGAGGTGGGGATGGAGATGACCCACACCCYGTTGCCATCCCTAGTTGTATATATAAAAATTTAGAATTCAAAATTTTAGATGTGAAAATGTGAGAAGAGGTTAAGCCGTAAATTAATATTATTTATGTAGAGGTGTGAAGTGAACTTAATATTTATTATAGATTAAAAAAATTAATAAGTTCTACGTATAAAAAAGTGATGAATGAGGTGTTATATAAAAAAAACTATCCTATTTTATTACAACTTGCATTTTTTTTTTTGGAAATTTATTTTATTATATAATATATCTGATATGATTGATTCTTTAAGAGTAGATTATAATATTAAGATATGTTTAAATTTTATAATAACTTATGTATACATTCAAAACAACAAATTTGCTATAAAATTTCTTTCAACTATATAATAGGCAAATTTCTTTCAACTATATAATTAACCTATGAGTATACAATATCAATCCTATAATTTGTTTTTTTGACAGACAATCCTATCCATTATTTATTAATCTAATCCGTTGGCTTTCCCAAAATCAAAATTCATTCATGAATCAGAATGAAAGGGCTAGAAGCGAGCGCTTCTAGCTACTTCGCCTACTTATTATTATGACGGAAATGAACGTGCTATTTTCAAATCGATTGATAGATAGCATGATCTGTTCTGATAGATCAAAAGAGTCGAAATGTCTCGCATAATTTATATTTTATTAAAATTAAAATTAATTTACATATTTCTAATTTGAATCAAAATATCTTCTTTAAGAATTCAAAAACTGTATTCCAAAAAAGGGAAAAAAATATTCAAAAGATTAAAATATACAAATATCCATACAAATTTAAAATATTAAAATAATTTGAAGATTAAATATAAAATAATATGAAAATAATAGCTAGTAGGTAGGAAAGAAGAAAATTGATATGCACGTCATTTTAAAAAATGGATTTACTTCTCATCCATGCTTGAGATCACTAAACAACAATCTTAGAGACCAAAAAATTAAAAAAAAAAATCTAAAAAAATAAGACTAAAGAAAATGGTAGTTTAAATTGTGATAGAAAATGAGTCATCTTAGCATGATAGGAAATGAAAGAGTTACAAAATTTATGAGATTCCAAAATTTTTTACATTAAAAAATTAAATATAATTAAGGGTTATAATGCTTAAATTAATTTATGTAAATTGGGACGTACATGCTACGTTTTATGATTAATATAATTTAGGTAATTAATATAATTTAATAATATTGGAAAACTGCTAAAGTGAGCATAACTAAGCGGTAATTGCTAAAATAACCATGAGCGGCTACGATATTATAAGTTTCTTCCTCTTGCTCGAAACTGTAACCTTCATTAAGATCCATTTTCTATGGTTTTCCCTTTAACAAACTAAAAGTTACCAAAGAACCATGCATAACATTGATGTCGCCGAATACACTGGCTACATCTAATATGTGAAATGGGTGCATAATGATGTTGTGCTCAGTCTAGAATACAATCATGAAGTTGAAAGCATGAGAGGTTCCTAGAGGCATACCGTGAAAAAAGCTTCCTTGACCAATTGGGTAGTCACTTAATTATAACCGAGAGACAGGTAGAGAGATGGATATGGGTATTACAAAAAAAGTCAAGGGCAATATGGTAAAAAAATATTTATTCCACGTCAGTCTTTTATATATAGTTTAAATTCATGCTAGTTAATTTCTAAATAAATAAATAAATAAAGGCTTCTCTCTCTCCTCCCAGTCCCCACAGTTAATGCTTCTTATTTTGGGCTTTCACAGTAAAAGAGAGAAGATTTGATCAGATTTTGGTCTGTCTTTTTAYAATTTGCTTTGGAGGGTTAATTTTAACAATAATGTAGATTTCAAAATAGTAATAAATTAAATAAAAAATTTTAAAAATAAGGCAGATATCAAAACTATAATAAAAGTACAAATTTTTTTATTGTTTAAATTTTGATTTTTGTAGTCAATCACAAGAGGACACGTGGCATCAATGATCAAATTATTCCTCCACTATTTAAATCTTAAAATTGAAGGAAAAATGGGAAAAATCAGCATTGTTTGAGCGTTTATTTCGCCATTTTGTAGAACTTTTGAAATTGGAATTTTTATATTGTATGAATTTTTCTTACCAATTTGTGAGTCTAGATTTGTATATCTACTATGAGAGATTGTGACATTGTCCTTATATTTCTAAATTATTTGCAAGGATTGTTCTTGAACTTATAAAAAAAGAGTTTTAACGATTTAATTCTTAACTATGGAAAGGATATGGTTTCTTCTCGCTTCAGAAAAAGTAAGGTTTTGTAGCAGTTGAAAGACTATGAACTAAGGAATAGTCATCAATGAGCTTTTTATAATCGAATATTAAATAGATTTTTGGGAGGTGGAGTAGGCTAACTTTGGTCAGACCACTATAAACTTTCGACCTATTTCTTTCTACCCTTATCCTATTTTATTTGTGCAACATAGTTAGCATTTACTTGAAATATATTGCAATTTTTAGAAAATCACTTTATTAAAAAGTGTGTTTTTTTGGTTGAATACAACTACAATTTTAAAATTTGTAATTAACATTATTCATTCCTAAAGGATGAGATCTAATAGAAAGTAAATAGTTTAAATATAAAGGACTGACTATTAAAAAACTACCTATGAAACTAAATTAAGATTCAGATTTCGAATACTTGTCATTTATTAATCAGATCACTTGACTTGTTAAYATAAGCATAAGTCAATGGTAAAAATATGTTCGCATTCTCTCAAAATCGGAGTTCAAAATTGTCACCCTGTACTRAAAAACTAAATAATTTGTCTTATTATTTTATTTTAGGTAGTGTTTTATTAATTTTTTTCTCTCTTTCATATAAAGGAATAGACACAGACATTTTTTCATTTATTASTTGAGTGACTAGAGTCGCAACAAAGTATATATAGACATTATTCTTTTCTACACACTTAAACTTCCAACCGATTGATGGCTCAAATGATTGCATAGTGGTAGTAGGGTAGACACATTATTAATTTCCTCAGCCATCAAAGATCAAGGTAGAATATAACCTGCAAAGTACAATGTACAGGGTACATGAAAGGATTAATAATTTGTACTAAATTGGTAAAGTTAAAATAAGTAGCCTTATAAGKAGGTTTGGAGTTTGCCACGTGTACCACATTCACTTGAAAATAAGTATACGAGTCTCAGCTTTGACAGGTTAAGGACAAGTGGGACAGGTTGAATCACGTATGACTAGGTCAGGCTCAACTTACCACTTACATGGAAAAATATGTCATTGACGAAAAATCTACTAACACTAAATACGGAATGTCAAAGTGATAGGACCACATTTTCTAAAGCTCCCCTTATAAGATGGGGTCCCTATTTTTTAAAATAGACATTTTCTAAAGAGCAACTTAACTAAGTTTGGAAGTAAATAATAATAATAATAATAATAATGTTTGGTTCGACACCAATTTCGAATAAAATCAAACTTAAGTTTTGGAGTGTACGTGGGAACCCATATTAGTGCAAG